CTACTTAATTGTATCTAAAGGAGTTGAGTTAAATTTATAATTCTTATTTAAATAATGGCAATTATTAAGTGAATAATATGTGTTTTCTTAACAAGAATGGAGTTAGATTACTTTCAAGTTTAACAACCAGATTCTATATAAAATTTGAAGGAGCCCAAGTCCATTCAACATATGTTAAGATTCCTCAAATTAAAAAAACAATACTTAATTTATTTTATATATCTTTCGAACACTTCAGAAACATAATTTATGTGATTAAAAAAATTTTTTAACTACATAAATTCCTTTATATACGCATGTGTGCAACAGTAATAATATTCCTAATAAAGAGAATTTTATTAGATTATAAAGTTCTAATTTTGGCATTTTTTTCATTCTAATGTAATTATTTTATTACTCCTGCGTAGTGATGACTCCGAGGGTTAAATTGTTCTGTAATGTAAGTAGAGTGTATTAAAATATTAAAATCATTGTTACAAAATCGATGCAAGTGTCTATTGTTTTCTAAAATCTAAGAATWTATTATCTATGTACCGTCCTCTTCGAAATCCACCATTGAACTAAGTCATTGTCCTCTATAAAAGTTTTTTTATTCAATGTTGTTTATATGACTTTCTGAACGTTGCACATGTGTACAACGGTTATAATACTCCTAATAAAGAGAATATAAGATTATAACGCGTTATGATTTAAATTTTAAAAGATAAAAACAATTTACTGTTCACCTACATTTTGTGTGTGTAGAAGGTATTTAAAGAAATTATGATATTGTGGTTGTATATATAAACGGCCCATATATTTGATATATTGGCAAAAATTAGAACAAAGCTAAGACATCTATGAACGTGTAAAACAATTAGTATAAGTTCTGTTTACATTTATTGTTTCGTAAAAAATACAGTTATTTCACGCTCGGTAGATAATGATGTGTTAAAAAAAACAGTTAATATACTAGTAAATAAAAAAATGTAAAAAAACTAATACAAATGTATATTACCTGACTTTTTCTTTTGCTACGCAAAGAAAATCGATTCATAATGTTTCAGTAGAATAAAGAAAGTCAGGGTATAATCTACCAGATTGGATAGAAAATAAAACCAATCGTAATCTCACGTTCTTAACGTTACGACTGAGGTTAGTTACCAAAAAATACTTAAGACAATCGTCTGGAAGACTTTTAACTAGGGTCGTCTCGAATTTCCATGAGACGGTTTTTCTTATCAAGTCAATTTAGTTTTTCTGCGAGTGGTATGTTCGCATTGCCTCGGAGGGGGGGGGGTTAACCGATTTTGGCTGTTGATTCGACCATAACATGGATGGACTTTTGGAAAAGAAGAAATGAGATCAAGTAGCTTGCAAGATGACTCGTCGAATCGTTTCACGAAATTACCTTTTGCGAAAGGGGGATTCGTCGGTGGGAAATGATTTTTCACGAAGGCTTTGGATCGGGAACGTGGCACGATCGGTTCTTGCGGTTACAGAGGGAATAATGGTTATAATCGGAATTAAAGTGGTCGTTATTGGAAGAGCTATGCGTCTTATACCTGCGTTCATTCATGGGGAATAATCGTTCGCGATGAACAATCGCTGCTGTTGAAAGGGACAACTTGTTCAAATTATTAATCCATTCGATTAGAAATTCCCGAACAAAGCGTACGAGGATAATTGCAATTTAGAAGATTATGCGTCCTAATGCGCGTTATCTTCTTTCCCTTTTTTTTTTTAACAAAGAAAAATCTAATATTTTTTTTAGAAGAGAATGTTAACTCGACTTCTTTAATAATTCACTTTGAACATCTTCAATGGTTTATACATTTTCATAATCAAGATACATGTATATATACACTTTGTGGGATAAAAATTCTCTATAATCCAATCTTCTTTGATAAATATAAAATTCCTTTCGCAAATTCATTATAAATATTAATTACAAACTCAAAAATTATGAACTCATGATAAAATATTATGATTATAACGCTTTTCTTATCGAAAAGACTTCATTTCCATCTAAATGATACATTTTTTAGTAAAGAATAATATAAAAATAATAATATTCATAAAAATAAACGCGTAAATAAATTGACGCAAGTATTATTTATTTGTTGCTGGAATTTATGAAAACCTACAAGAGTCTTTTTGACCTAAAAAATCATTTAACTTTGTTCTACCGATAATTTTGTCTACTTACCATAGAACGTAATATTTGGTTGCTAAACATTATTTATAAATTACAAACTTTAATAGTAATTTTAAACAATCTTTCATTGCATGTGTGTGAATTTCGTTAGAAGTTAGATTAAACAAAGTAAAGAGACATTTAAAGGATAAACTTCACACAAGGGAAAACAGGAATTGTAATTTTCGCATAGACAATGAAACAATAGTGCATGATACATTAGTGGATCGCAGTTGGTACAAGGACTAGATAAAGATTTCTAGGATTATGTTTGTATGGATTGTAAGTACATAGCTTATTTGTAGTTCAAAAGGATACATTGCTTTGGCGAAATTAGAAGAGGAAGAAGGGAGGACCAGGACAAGAGGATGGAGGGCGGGTGGAGGAAGGAGGGGAGGGGGTGGGGTCTAGGAGGAGGAGGAGGAGGAGGAGGAAGAGAAGAGTAGGTCGCCTTAACAGCTTTAGAGGCACGAATGGTGCTTAGAATAATAGCTTGAGCCGATCTGTCCTGCCCTGTGTTATCCAATTACCCAGAGACCAGGATCTCTCTACATGTATGCAAAACGCTGTAACGTCTAGGGATCTACAGCAAATGCTCGAATTACTGCATTTCATCCAACAGGATTCTCTGCCTGTCTCATTCTCCTGCTAGCACATTCTATAATTATGTAAGATACTAATATGCATGCAATGATCTGTTTCCAGTTCTCAGAACCCCAAATGTCTTTGTCATAAGGAAGTTTGATAATACAATTTCAAAAAACAAAAACAACACAACAACAATAACAACAATAACAACAAGAACAACAACAAGAACAACAACAAGAACAACAACAACAATAACAATAAAAACAACAAGAACAACAACAACAACAACAACAACAACAACAATAACAACAATGAATAGCGTTATGAAATAAAAATCATTCTAATCACCCTAATAACTTTAATATAATTATTATTATCATAATATATTAAAATAAAATATATATATTTATTTTTATATTTGCAATGAAATGTTCACTTACCTTCTTTGATATCCTCTTTAAAAGAAATCCGATGAATATTCTTATTTCATAACTGAAAAGAAAATGCGTCTGAAACGTTTTCAACATTGATGTGAAATATATTTATAATAGTTGTTATTTATCTTAAAAAAAAAAAAAGAAAAACAAAATAGAAAATTTAAAAAAAGAGCAACATTAGTGTTCCGTTTCATTCACTGAAATATCTAGACTACTAATATCTATAGGAGGACGGATGGCGAATATATAGTACAAACAAGGAACAATGAAATCTCTCTTTTGGGTACGGTACAGAGGGTGGATATGAGATCCTCTACTGGAAGAAGAGGTAAATGGATGGTAAAAGTGCACGTTCTAACAATAAGAGAAAATTCGAGTCACGCACACGAGAAATTTCACCGACTCGTTTCGTTGAGTTCCTCTATACCTTAATAAAGAGAGAGAGACAGAGAAAAAGAGAGAGAGAAAGAGAGAGAGAGAGAAAGAGAGAGAGAGAAAGAGAGAGAGAGA